GGTGTGTTAGGCAACTCACTTAGCGTGTGTCCCAGGTTTGAGACCAACAGTAAGGAAAGTTGGTGGGTGGCAGAGAAGATTGCAGGGGGGGGAGAGAAGATGAGCCTGAAGACACTGGAAAGGGGATCCCGGGAAGCAGGTGGCTACAGGAGGCTGCAAGTCACGCTAGATGGAAGACCTGGGTGTCCTCGAGCGATGAAAGGGAAAGGACAGGAGAGGGAGGAGGAAAGAGGGGGATAAATGGAAGAGTGAGAAGGGGGAGGTTGGAAAGGAGGAGGTGAAAGGGAGGAGGGAGAGGAAGCATGCAGAGTGGGAGCCAGAGAGGATGAAGAACACACCCAGTCTGAGGCTCAAGGACTTCTGGGTCAGCCAAGATACCCAACCAGCCTGGGGCAGGCAGGACACGCAGATGAAGTCACCGCTAGGGGGCGGGGCAGACACACTCCCAATGCCCACACCCCAGACTTCACTTGGCAGGGTGTGAGAGCACCTAGGTTGTCCCTTTGTGTGTCTTAGAGCCAAGGTCAGTACCTGCCTTGGCAGGCTCACAGTAGCATGTGTCATAGTGGAAAGCTTCGGGAAAGGCACCCCCAACCAGGAACCCTCATTATAATCCCAGAGAGCCCCCTCAACCACTCCCACCCCCACACCCTCACACCCCACCACGAGGGTGCTCCAAGAACAGAGGTAGCTGGAGGCAAGGAATAGGAAAACCAGACTCCCTTCCCCTTGGTCTTCTGCATAGCCTCTGCCTCATCTGATCTTTAATCTCTCTATTAAGGAGGGAAGCCCAGGAGCCATCGCTCAGGACTACAGGGAGGACACAATGATCTGAGGACAGCCCTGGTTGGCAGCCTGAGTCCCACAGAAATGCCCAACTGACACTCATCGCAGCATGAGGCTAGATAAAACTGAGTGTGAACGTAGCAAGTGGATAGGGGAGACTTCCAGACCAGCTTAGCCATGGGGGTCCAGGGTATCTGCAGGTCTAGGATGGAGACTTAAACTTGGGGTTCTTGGGGATTTGAAGTTCTAGGGTTCCAGGGTGCCTGGAGGCCTATGATTCCAGACAATTCTAATACCTTGGGTTCCAGGGTTTCTGAGAATGTAGGTAGACAAAATGTCCTAGAATCTGAAAGCCAATTTCTAGAGATATCAGTGTCCAGTACCTCCAGACGGGCTGAGCCAGCCATGCAGGTTTGTCCCATAAAACCAACAGCTTCCCAGATCTAGGGAGGGACAGAACCTGTAACCGATGTCATGCTTGGCTGTGTGACCTCAGCTCAGTCCCTCCTGTTTCAGAGACCTTCTCATTATTGAGACTCTAGGCAATTGCTCAAGGCCCTCTGGAGGTTGAGACACTAGGAGCCAGCCACAGATACCAGAAGCCTTAGGTCATCTCTGATGATGCTAGCCTACAGATGCAGAGTCTGGAGGCCAAGCTCCAAACTCCAGGATTGACCCCAGGGAATCCAGAACCGACACACAGGGCCTAGCTGGGTGCTGAGAGCATGCTCCTCAGCCAACACTCGCATTCCAGAACCAGAAGCCAGGCTGTCTTGAGTCAGAGGTTGGGTTTGTTGAGATGGCATTTCACCCTACCTCAAGCCAACAGCTCAGGCTCCTTAAACGTCCATCCTCCTGTGTCTACTTCCTAAATGCTGGGATTGTAAGCATACAGACTTGTGACACTGGACCTGGCTCAGTGCAGGCTCTGTTCTTTGTTTTGTTCTTGCTGCTGTTGTTGATTGAAGCAAGTCTTGGGAATCCCAGGCTGGCCTCAAGATCATTGTGTAGACAAGCATATCTTGAACTCCTGATCCCCCTGCCTCAGGCCCCCAAGGGCTGGGTTTGCAGGTGTGCACTGTCATATCTGGTTTATGTGGTACAGGGAGGGATCAATGGCAAGAAGAAGAGGAGGAGGTAGAAATGACACCAGAGACAGAAACAGTGCAGAACACAAGCCTGAGACCTCAAAAGTTGTTCATGGTTCTGATCCCAGGACACAAATGACTCCAGGTACTGTACCTCAGACTTCCAAACTCTATAGAGTGGGGCATGGCTCAGTAGACAAATTCTTGTCATGCTCAGGACCTATGTAAAAATCCAGCCTGAGCTTGTGATCTAGTGCTGTGGAGATGGGTCTCTGGAGCCAGCCGCCCAGCCAGCCTAAGTCTATCAGGGAGCTCCAAGTCCAACTGAGAGACTCTGCTCAAAAAACAGGGTGGAGGGGCTGGAAAGACAGCTCAGCAATTGAGAACACAGTCTGCTCTTCCAGAGAACCTAAGCCTGGTTCCCAGTACCCATGTCAGGAAGGGAGCTCCAAGTCCAACTGAGAGACTCTGCTCAAAAAACAAGGTGGAGGGGCTGGAAAGACAGCTCAGCAATTGAGAACATAGTCTGCTCTTCCAGAGAACCTAAGCCTGGTTCCCAGTACCCATGTCAGGTAGCTTGGTCAGGTAACCAACACAGGCTCCTGGAACTCTAGTTCCTGGGAATCTCAGGCCTCTGGTCTCCATGGCACTGCATGTATAAGCATACACATAATAAAAAACAAAAACAAGATGGACAGTGGATTAGGAAGACACCCACAATCGACGCATGTGTGTATGTGCAAATTTAATATATTTTGATGACTAAAAATAAAAGTAATTAAATTTCACACTGTACTTCAGACCATGACAACCAATGAGACCTCCCCAGTCCATAAACTAACATAAATCCAGATCCAAGTTCCAAAGTGGCATGGTGGCACACAACTGTCTTCCCAGCCTTTGGGAGGCTGAGGCAGATGGATTTCAAGTCCAAACTCAGATCAGCCTGAGCTACCTGGTAAGACCTTGTGTCAAAACAACCAAACAGAATCAAATCTGAAAACTCTCCCAGGCCCAAGAAGCATGACCTCAGAATTGAGCTCCTGCACCTATACCAGAATCCCAGGTTCTGCATTTCACTGTCTTCCAGTTTTCTGCACTTGTCCTCCTGTCCCCTCCCCTTGAGGAAACTGCCCCTGGGTGGAATTCCTCCTTAGAGACTCAGACAATGGCCTCAGACTAATAAACGCTCATTAGACCAACCAAGTCTGGCATCGCACCTTCCGCCAGGGCGTCCAGCCTGTAAACCTGACCCTTCACTGCCTCTCACTCTGCTCTACCCAACCCCACCTCCAGATCCAGGATGGGCCAGGAGCTTATAAATGCAGGTTTTCAGGTCTGCGCTCCTCTTCTGGCATCCCAGCTGCTCTGGATGGCACTGGAGGACCTGGAGGGGGTGAGATCTTTGAGAAAGAGCTTGGGAAAGTGGGTGGAGGCAGGGAGGGGACCCCGAAAATGCCTTGGTCTCCAAGAGGCACAGACTACCCTGTAGGACCAGTTGTCAAGGACACTGGGACTTCTGTGTCCTTTTCCTGTAGCTTCAAGTTGAATGTGAGCCAAGAAAATGTCTCAAAGCTTCTAGAAAGAGCCTGGGCTGGAGGGGAAGAAGGGGAATCAGAGACTTGAAAGGACATCCCTGAAAACACTTGTCATGGAGCCAAGGACATGGTCAGCAGTTATCACAGGTCAAGTCAGTTCAGAACAACCTCTCTGCAATGTCCCCAGTGCTGGGTCCCAGGCTGAGCAGAGCTGGGGACAGGAAGGTCTGACCTGACTCCATCTTACTCTAGGATGAGGAGTAGGAGCAGCCAGGTCTCAGTCACTGCAGTCAGTGCTACCAAGGCATGATAGACAACACAGGATCTCAATGGCATCCCCTTTGGATTCCGCTGTCTTGGAAGAGTCAGGCTAAGCTTAATGTAAATAGCAAGATGCAAGAAGAAAATGAGTTTACTCCCCAAGCTTCCAGAGGTCTCTCTATGGGCCAGACCCTAACACTGGGTGGTACCTGGGAATCCAGGGTCAGTCAGGTGAGGTCCAATCCAAAGGAGTTCTCAGTCTGATAAGGAGACCCAACAGAGAGTCAGGGGAGGGGTCGGAGAAGGTCAAGGGGGTGGGGAACAAATTGAGCAAAGTTGGGGTGTGAAACTACAGGACCAAAGTTCAGCACTGGCTGTGCCTAGGGAAGGTCCCAGAAACCCAGCTGGACAGGCTGGAAGTGGGGGAGGCATTTCTGTCCTTCGAAGTACTGCTGAGGATATGGGAATTTATTTGGGGGTTGTCAGAAGTCTATGGGAGGCTGTGAGCCAGAGAGAGGAGCCCTCATCTAGCTCATCTCTGAGCTAGAAAGACCCTGTAGAAGCCAAGGTGTGGTAGTGAAGACCTGTCATTCAGCACTTGAAAGGTTAAGGCATGAGAGTGCAGAATTCAAGAATAGCCTGGGAAACTTAATGAGACCCTGCCTCAAAATGAATAGTAAAAACAGAAGTGGGGACTTTTTTTGTGTGCCATAGTAGTGTGCATTTCCAAAACCCACCAATGAGAGGCAAGGGGCATGGCTCAGCGCAGTCAGCCAGCATAGGGCAGGCCCTGCTACCCAAGAGGAAGGAGAGCGGGAGGGAGGTTAGTTCTCCAAGGGCTTTGTTTACAGGAGTACTAGACTTAAGGGGACCCAAGGGTGCCCATGGGAACCTGGATAGAGACCTGATCCAGGGCCATGGGGGTGAGGGAGAGAGACCCAGGGGGTTATTGACTATGCTACTGTCTACCAACAATGAAAGGAACAGAGGACCCTCCAGAGATAGGTACCGGGAAGGAGCTGCAGGAGATGGAAGGCCAGGCCCCAAAAGTAGGTGTCTTAGTCTAGCATAGTGCCGCCCACCTGTCATCTCAACAGTCAGGAGGCTGAGGCTGGAAGGGCACAGGTTTGAGGCCAGCCTGGGATATAAAGGAAGACACTATCACAAAAAAAAAAAAAGAAAAGAAAAGAAAAGAAAAGAAGAGTGTGGCATGTAGGGATGCATTTCTGTCCACAGGGGTGATGATGGGGACAGATGGATCCATCCTTACCCCCGTTTTTGTCATCCTCCCCCCACCAGGTCTCCAAGCCCAGGACCCTCCTTCACAATGTGGCTTCTCCTTGCTTTCGTCTTGCTGGTGTCTGCAGGTGAGGGACACCAAAGTTGGGTGGTGGTCTGATGAAATGGGGTCCCCCTTTCCCTAGAGTATCTGCAACCTAGGACCTGCTAACCATACTTCACCCAGAGACCCCTTTATGATTCTATCCCAACCCCGTCTGAGCCACCTGCTAAATGTCTGTGAATCCTCAACCACGAGTTATCAGAAGTTCTGGAGGTGCTGAGCCATCTGAACCCTTGAACCTGAGTTCCAAGACCATTCCTTAGTGCTGTGTGACCTTGGGGAAACTTTTACCTCTCTGGGCTTCAAGTGCTTTCTACCTGTGACCGTCACCGTGAAGTCCTAGTCACGTCATATAGGTGATGTGTAGGACAAGCAATCGGGCTGGTTGAGACACAGGACGTAGGTTTGAATCCTGTGGCTGCCACTTCCCCAACTCTGCAACTCTGGTTTCCCAGCCACAGGATGGAGGCAACTATCCTCCATACAAATTCAATGTGGTGTCCCATGAGGTGTGTGAGCATGATGGAACAATTTGGACACTCCAAGCAGGGCACATAGCATTCACAAATAATGACCATGTGAGGTAGAGGGCTTGGGGAGATGGCCCAATGGACACAGTGCCTCTTGTGGAATCATGAGGATCTGAGTTCAGATCCCCAGCACCCCTCAAAAACCAGCAGTAGGCCTGTAACATCCCAGGGCTGGGAGGTGGAGAAGGGGATCCCCAAGCTTGCTGCCATTCAGCTAAGCCAATCTGTGAGCTCTACAGTCAGTGAGAAAACCTGTCCCCCAAAATAAGCTTGGGACTGGCAAGATGGCACCGATGGTAATGCCGTCAAGCCTGTATAATTGAGTTCAGAGCCCATGAAGTGGAAGGAGAACCACTACTGCCTTCCTTGACCAGGGAGCAGGTTGCAAGCAGGGATGGCCACTAAACCAAGGTCACCCTGGGTGACAGGCCAACTCCAGACCAAACTCTACCACATCTTGTGGAAATTTTCAATGTAACCTGATGCTTCCTGCCCTGGAGAAATTGGAGGGGGTGTCCATTAACGATCCCCCTGCTCCCCACATGACCTATGCCCAGGGCTCTCAGCCCTCCCCCATGGCAGGCAAGCCTCCTCGGGTTCTCCCTGTGCTCTGCCCCTGCTGTCTGCTGCACCCAGCCAGGGCCTCCGCCCTCCTCCAGCTGGGACTGGCTGGGTGCAGCCCGATGCCCAGCTGTTCAGCCAGTGCCCTTCTCCACAGGACGACCTCACCCTTCCTCTGCTAAGCCCCTCTCTTGCCACATCCGCATTCCCACAGCCACCCAGGCCCTTGGAGGACAGAGGGCAAAGTGTGGACATTTGGCTTGGTTGTAACAGTCCAGCCCAGGAGCTGGGTGTCTGTCACAGTCTTGACCTTGGAGGAGAGGGGCAGCCACATGGCTCAGTATAAGGAACTGTAGCCTCTGATGTCTCAGTTATACTATTGTATGTGATGCCATTCTCTGTATCTCTCTCTGTCTCTGTCATTCTCTGTGTCCCTGTCTCTGTCTCATGAACCAGGTCCCCCCTTATGAACTTCAAAGAATGACCTTAAACATTAGTGATCCTGTTTCCTCTGTCTGTCTCTCCTACTATCTATCTTTGACCTTGAAATCCCAGCTTTATGTCTGGCAGTATCTGAGTGTGGTCTGGGGTGGTGGAGGACTGTCCATGTCTGACTATTCACCCTGTAGATGGGTATCTGGCTCTCTGAGTTTGACCGAATGACTTGTGGGTATAACACATTTTTACATTGTGAGCACATGTGTGTACATCTAGTATGTGCACATGCATGTGGATGCCAGAGGTCGATATCGGCTCACTCCTCAGGCACTGACTGCCCTTTTTTATTTTATTATTTATGTGTAGGAGTGTTTTGTCTGCATTTTTGTATGTGCAGCTTGTGTGTTCCCTGGAACTGGAGTTACAGATAGTCGTGAGATGCCATAGACATTAAAACTGGGTCCTCTAGAAGAGTAGCCAGTGCCCTGAACCAGTGAGTCATCTCCAGCCCCACCTTCGTTTCTTGACACAGACCTTGTCAGTGGCCTGATACTCACTCATTAGGCCACACTGGCTGGCTGGAGTACTCCAGGGACCCGACTGACTCCAGACACTGAGGTTGTAAGCATGCACCACTGTGCCTGACTTTCTTTGAACGTGGGTCCTCCTGCTCACAAGGCAAGGTCCTCCTCACTGAGTCATGTCCCCAGCTTGAAACTGCGGTTTTCATGTTGGCTGTTGTAACTAGGTCTGTGCAGATGTCTGTCATACTTTGGCCATACCTGTGTCACCAACCTGAGCATCCACATGGATACCCCATAAATAAACGGGTGTGCTTTGTTTAAAGTAACAAATGTACTGTGATCTCAGAGCCTGAAAAGACTTAAAAGAGAAGGCTGCCCTGAGCTCAGACCACCCTAGTTACAATGTAAGTTTCAAGCCAGGCTAGACAACAGAGTGAGGCCCTGCCTCAAACACCAAAAGAAATAAATCAATTAATAGTGTTACAAGCAGTTACAATGTGTCAGGTACAGTTCACACACATGTGCAGCCCACACAAAGGCACCTATAGGCTCCTCTTATTTTCATGGCCACCCCCACAGTTTTACAATTGAGAAAAACAAGCACTAAGAGATCAACTTCTGGCTGGGAAGACAGCTCAGTCAGTGAGCTGCGTACTGTGCAAGTGTGAGGACCTGAGTTTGACCCTCAGATCCTGTGTCACAAGCCATGTATGTCATGCAGCACTTGGAGGATGAAGACACAGTGGGTTCCCGAGGCCCACTGGGCAGCCGGCCTAGCCAAGTCAGTGAGCCCAAGGTTCCGTGAGAGTAATCCAGACCCCGTCATCAAGGAACCCGTAACTGAAGAATGACACCAGAGATCGTCCTCTGGCCTCCATCCATGTACATGTATGCACCCATGCAGACACAGACATGCAGACACAAGAGTCAACGCTTCATAGCATTACATGTATACACCCATGCAGACACAGACATGCAGACACAAGAGTCAACGCTTCATGGCAAGGACAGGCAGCAACTGTCAAAACCAGGATCTTCAGCTTCAAGACAAGTGTGTGTGTGTGTGTGTGTGTGTGTGTGTGTGTGTGTGTAAGAAAAGAGAGAGAGAGAGAGAGAGAGAGAGAGAGATTCATGTATGCATACCTTGCAGTGTGGGTGGAAGCAGAGGTTAACACTGAGTGTCTTCCTTCATCACTTCTTGTTTATTTCTTTTTGTTTTAAATATTTGTTTCTTTTATGAGTGTGTGTGTGTGTGTGTGTGTGTGTGTGTGTGTGTGTGTGTGTGTGTGTGTGTAGGTATCCCTAGAGGCCAGAATAAGGTCTCCTGGAGCTAGAGTTACAGGCAGTTGTAAGCCATCATGTTGGTGCTGGGATCTGAACTCAGGTCCTCTGCAAAAGCAATTTGAGCTCCTAACTTCTGAGCCATCTCTCCAGTTCCCCATCTTTTCTTTTCTTTCTTTTTCTTTTCTTTCCTTTGAGTTAGGGTCTCTCACAGACTTCACCATTGCACTAGCTAGTCAGCAAGCTCCTGGGGTCAGCCCGTCTCCCATCCCCAATCCCAGCACATGGCTGACACACCTGGCTTTTTATGTGGGTGTTAGTGGATCCGAACTTGGGTCCTCATGCAGCAAACACTTTACCCAGGGAACCAAACCCAGCCCAAAGCAGGGATTCCTTCACCCCCAGACAGGGTTTCTCTGTGTTGCCCTAGCTGTCCTGGAACTTGCTCTATAGACCAGGCTGGTCTCAAACTCATGGATCTGCCTGCTTCTGCCTCCCAAGTGCTGGGATTAAAGGGGGGTATTTCTCAGTGAACAAAGGGGGACCGCCTGAGTGAAGCTTACAGTAAAGATAGGTGAAGCAGAGGTAGGGACGCTGAAAAGGCAGGGCTCAGAGAGAGATGCACTATCTGTGTCTCCCCACAGCTCAGGACGGTGACAAGGTACTAGAGGGCGAGGAGTGTGCACCCCATTCGCAGCCGTGGCAAGTGGCCCTCTTCGAGCGTGGCCGTTTCAATTGTGGTGCTTTCCTCATCTCCCCACACTGGGTGTTGACTGCCGCCCACTGCCAGACCCGGTATAAAGGCAGGGTATGGGGGTCCTGTGGGGTGTGGCTGTGACTGGGAACTTCTAGGTTTGGGGCACCTGGACTGTTGGCCTTGAGTGGGGAAGTAACCCAAATTCTTGGTTTCTGAGGGACCAGGAGGCTGGAGGTGAAGGCCCTGGGTGAGAAGGGGTGTGGATTCTGCCACTGTAGATCCCTAAAGTGGAAAGAGAAGGCTGTAAATGTCCCATCTTGTGGGCCCCTGATGGGAGAGGTGTCTAGTAGATGAGAATTTTCTGTCTGAAGAAGGAAAGGGGCCAAACCTCGGGTTGAGTTCCACATGTGTGCCTGATTTGGGACTCCTGGTTTTGTCTGTTTGTTTTCTGAGAGAAAGTGTCACTGTGTAGACCAAGCTGGTCCAAAACTTACAAAAATCCACCTGCCTCTGCCTCCCAAGTATTAGGGTTAAAGGCATGCATCACCATACCCTGCGACTCATGGGTTCTTGAAGGGCCATGGCTGGAAGCATTGGCTTTAAGGACTTGAGAAAAGGAAAAGAGATTTCGAGGTTCTCAACGGGTCAGAAAATCGCAGGGTGTCCACTCTTTGACCCCTTTGTCTATTCCTTTCTGGTAACTACTCACCGGCCCAGCTTCATGAGAGTGCGCCTGGGCGAGCACAACCTTCGAAAGCATGATGGCCCAGAGCAAGTGCGCTCCGTGTCTAGAATCATCCCACATCCGGGCTACGAGGCTCGCACCCATCGGCATGACATTATGTTGCTGAGACTTCTCCATCCTGCCCGGCTATCATCTCAGGTGCACCCCGTGGCTCTGCCTACACGTTGCCCCTTTACTGGTGAGGACTGCGTGGTGTCAGGCTGGGGCCTGTTATCAGCCAACAAGCCTGGAGACTCAGAGAGTCACAAGTCACAAGGTGCGTGGAAGGATGGAGCTGGATCTAGGAATTCCAGCAACACTGCCCTCCAGGGTCCTTGGGTGGAGGGCACAGGGACCAACGGGAGTGAATATACTCAAAGCCATCTGTCCTCCTCAGTGAGACTCCCCGATACGTTGCATTGTGCCAACATCAGCATTATCTCCGAAGCATCTTGCAACAAGGACTACCCCGGTCGAGTGTTGCCCACCATGGTGTGTGCTGGAGTAGAGGGCCGTGGCACCGACTCCTGTGAGGTCAGAGCCATGTGGGGGCTTTGGGTAAAAGAGGGGAATAAGATGTATCCTAGCTTGCTTTTCTGTTGCTGTGATAAAAAATACTCTGACCAAAAGCAACGTGGGGAGGAAAGAGTTTATTTAGCTTAAAGCTCATAGTCCATCATGGAGGAAAGGCAGGGCAGGAACTCAAGTATGAACCTAAAGCAGACACCATGGGAGGATGCTGCTCACTGACTTGCTCACTGGCTCCTGTTCAGCTGGCTTTCTCTTCTTCCTTTCTTCCTTTCCTTTATTTTTTTAATGTGTTGAGTGTTTTGCCTGGATATGTCTCTGTGCGCCATATGTGTGTAGTGTACATGGAGACCAGAAGAGAGCCTTGGGATTGAAATTACAGACAGCTGTGGGTGCTGGAATCAAACCTGGGTCCTATGCAAGAGCAGCCAGTGATCTTAATTGCTGAGCCAACTCTCCAAGTCCTCAGCTTGATTTCTTATATAGCCAAGGCCCATTTGCTAGGGGATGGTGCCACTCAGTGAGTTAGATCCTCCTGCGTTGACCAACAATGAAGACAACTTTCCACAGCCATACTCTGGGCAACCTCACAATTGAGACTCCTCAGAAGATCCCAGTCTGTGTCAAGTTGGCAGCTGAAGCTAACTAAGACAGAATAGGACATGTAGGGTAACTTGAATTTGCTTTGGGTCAGAGACAATGATGAGTTTAGGTATGGGATGGGATTCCAGGAGAAGTTAGAATCATGGTAAGAATGGAAGTGGGGTCAGTGATGTGGACGTGGAGGAGATTACATGGTCTGGGAAAGCATGGGGGAGAGCTAAGAAGGGGAGTGAGTTTGCTTTGACTCAGGATGGGAAATATGTTGGGGTTGGCATGGGATGGCATGGGTTTGGGGGAGGGGTGAAGATGATGCAAAGATTGGGATTGGCTTGTGTTTGGCAAGCACAGGTTTAGTTGGATTTTGAATGGGGAAGATGTATGGATTGGATGGAATCTGACTTGACTTTGTGCCATGGGGCTGTTAGTGTGAGATGGAGCTGAACCTGCGTGGGGGTGGGGGTGGGGGATGATGAGTGCTCTTGGATTGTACTGAGTCAGAGTAGGCTTGGATTGGTTTGGGCTAATGTTGGAATTTCCTAGGGTGAGTGAGGTTGGTTTGGCATTTCGTTGAGATGAGGAATTATGGTTAGTTAGATAGTGGATTGGGAGTGTGACTCAGTTGGTAATGTCCTAGCATGCACAAAGCCTGGGTTCTATCTCCAGCACCATGTTAACCAGGCATGGCAGTGCACACCTGTCATCTCAGCTCTTGGGAGGTTGAGGCAAGAGGATGAGCTGTTCATCCTCTCACTACATGGAATGAAATATTGAGGAAACCCCCCTTTCTCCCCACAGGGTGACTCTGGAGGACCCTTGGTCTGTAGGGGTGCCCTGCAGGGCATCGTATCCTGGGGTGATGTCCCCTGTGATACTACCACCAAGCCTGGTGTCTACACCAAAGTCTGCAGCTACTTGAAGTGGATCCGGGAAAACATGAAAAGGAACTGACTCATTGGCCCACAACCTAGGCCCCTCACTGACCACCTGGGACCCTGACCAAGAATCCCCCATAGCTGGTCAGCAACCCCATTCCTACTGAAGACAGAGCTGAGCCCCTCTGCATACTGTTAGCCAGGGCTCCTCTCCTCCTGAGGTCACCTGCTTAACACCAAGAAAACAGTGTTTTCCCAGCACTCTCGAGGCAAAAGCAGGCATATCTCTGAGTTCAAGGCCAGGCTGGTCTAAAGAATGAGTTCCAGGACAGCCAGGGCTACAAAGAGAAAGCCTGTCTCAGAGGAAGAAAGAAGGAAAGAAACAAAGAAAGAAAGAAAGAAACAAAGAAACAAAGAAAGAAAAAAACAGTGTTGATCCAACTTTCTCTGTAGGGAAAGAAACAAAGAAACAAACAAACAAACAAACAAACAAACAAAGAAACAAAGAAAGAAAGAAACAAAGAAAGAAAGAAAGAAACAAAGAAAGAAAGAAAGAAAGAAAGAAAGATGATCCAACTTTCTCTGTAGGGTATGACTTTCTTTAGGGCATGAGGGGAAATGGATGGGGACTAGGATATAAAGTCTACTGTTCCATGTCACCTAAGGTCCCCTTCCCTGGGCTAGGGAACATTACTTTGCTTATTTGGACCAGATATGAGATGTTGGATCAGGGGCCTGACCTCACTCATTCTTTGTTTTAACATCTGTGAAATGGGTTAACATAATACTTATCTCCTAGGTGTCTGTAAAGATTAAAGAGTCATTCATCTTAATGGATCAGAACAGTGTCTGCCACTTTGTCCACAATCATAAACTGTACATTCCAGTGAGAGGACCCAACAAATACTAGATTTCCAAGAGTCACCATTAGTTCTAGGCTTCATGATGACCAAGGCAAGAAGGCCAACACTCTATTTCCTTTGGCCACATTGATGACATACAGTACAGGCTTCAACACTGTGAGATGCCTTGCTCATTGTATCCATGTCTCATTTGAAGCCTGTGGCTTTACCATCAAGTTTATGGGAGTACAGTTTCTGATTCTCTTCAGAAACCCCAAAATGTAATTCTTGGGGTCACTGAATGTTGAAGCCTTTGGTCTTGGTCATAGAAGTGGATAGATTAGATTGAGTGAAGGGTTGTCATTGCAACTTCTGATATTATTTTTATTATACATATTTATTTTGTGTGTGCTCAGAGGTCAGAGGACATATATTCTAAGAGTTGACTTTCTTCTAACATTGGGATTGAATTCAAAAGCTGATAGAGACACTGATCCATCTCACCAGACTCAGAATATTTTTGTTTATTTATTTATTGCTTCATATTAGCCAAGAATGACCTTGAACTTTCTGATCCTCCTTTCTCCACTTGCTGGTTTTACAGGCATGCACTACCACACCTGATTTTACATAGCTCAAACACAGGACCTCATGCAAGCTAGGCAATCACCCCACCAACTGACCTACGTTCCCAGTTCCCACCAACTCCCCCACACACACTTCTTTTGGAAGACAGGGTCTCACAAACTCAGACTGACCTAGAACTTGCTATGTAGCTGAGCTGGCCTTGAACTCCTGTTCCTCCTGTTTCCACTTCCCAAGTGTGTGTACCAGGCTCTGTGTTGATAATCTTGATGGGGGAAGCCAGTTAGTTAGATCTTTGGGACTTTGAGGGACATGACCTTAAGTTCCCTTATCTAGGAAACAAGGAATAAAAAGATCATTGTGACCCCCAACACTGTGGGTGAGTGACACTCCCCTGGGATAGCCTGACTTCTCATATTCTTGGATCAAAGAGTGATCAGGCTGTGGTAATACGCATTCTAACTTATTTTAATTTTAATTTTATTAATTTGTTTGAGACAGCTCTCTATATAGCTCTGACTGTCCTGTAACTCACTATGTAGACCAGGCTGGCCTTGAATTCAGAGGTCCACTTGCCTCTGCCTCCCAAGCACTGGGTTTAAAAGTGTCTGTCACGATGCCTGCTCCTAAACTTCTAACAGAAACAATAAAAATCAGTGATCTAGATTCCAAGTCATCTAAGCAGGTAAGAACCCTGACATTCTTAAAATCAAGGTTTGTATTTGCAGGAAGCTTGTAGCCCTCTTGGCTACCACTGGTGCAAGGAATTTGTTTTAACTACTGGTTTCTGAAGATATGCTGGGTCTTGAGGTACAGGGCCTTCCTGAGAAATGTGTGATGGGGTCACTTGCTCCTCCACTCTCCTATTGCACCCCTTCACCACCATCACAACCCAACATTGCCATTCTGGCTATGGCCCCCAGATCATACACGGCTCTGGGAGCAGTAGGCCCTGCTCCACCCAATCTCAGCCCTGGGAAGGTGTCCAGGGTGACCTAGGACCTGCAGGACAGCAGGTGCAACAGGTCCCTCCCCTCCCACAGCTGTGAGGGTGGGAGTGGGGAGTCCACCTCCCTCCGTCAGCAAGGGCAGGGCCTTGGCCAGCATCTGGGTGCCAACAGGGCAGGGGCGGGGCTGGGGGGGAGAATAAGGGTTTTTAAAGGCACTCTGAGGAGGCTCCTCAGCTCCAAGCTCACTGCCTGCTGCTCCTGGACACCTGTCGCCATGTGGTTCCTGACCCTGTTCGCAGCCCTGTTCCTGGGAGAGACTGGTGAGACAGTGCGGGGAAGCAGGAGGGGTCAGAACCCTGACTCTCATGCTGCCTTTAGCCCTGGAAATCTCTTTCCTATTTCCCCTTTCTCCCCACCCAGCTGTATCTCAAAGCATGCCTGCACCTCTCCCTGCCCCTGCACACTGCCAAGTCCCTCACAGTCCTCATTCCCATATCAGTTCCCTCCCATTTTCCAGAACTTTCTCTTCTCTAGCCACCTGACCATCTCTGGGATTCTCCAGTCTTTCCAAGGAACCCAACCCCTTACAGACCTTGGGACCTTGGTTGCCCCCCCCAGTTTACCTATTTTTCTAGAACCTAATAGTCCAACTCCTGAGTTAGGAGCTTCCCCAAACCCCACACCTAGAGACTTTGGCTGTCCAGCAGCTGTCAGCCTTCAACTGTGTCGTCCAGTCCCAACAACAACTGGCCCCCCTTTTCTGGAGTGGGGGATCTGCCCATGTCCCTTCTCACTGGGTTTTCTGTTTGGTCTGGTTTGGGGAGGAGTTGGGTGGTGAGAGCAGAGGTATCCTCTTCAATCACTCACCGCCTTATGTCTGAGGCAGGGTCTCTCACTGAACAGAGCACTCCCCCATTTGGCTAGGCTGACTGGCCAGCAAGCCTAGGGGATGCTGCTGTTTCTACCCCCAACTCTGGGGATACAGATGCACATCACCACACTTGACTGTTTTTCTGGGTTCTAGGGGCATGAACTCAGGTCCTAACACTTGCATGGCCAATACTGTAGCAACCAAGCCATCTCCCCAGTTATTGGGGAATAGTTATAAGACAGGGTCTCATTATGTAACCCAGATTTGCCCACGGCAATCCTCTGCCTCAGCCTTCTGTGTGCTGAAATTATAGTTAAGAGCCACCATGGCTGGCCCAGTCTCCCCCCCATGCATGCCCGCCTCCCACCCTCAACCACAGGCTCCTCATGACTTCTTGCTCCACCCCAGCTCCTGTCATGTCATGACTGAGTCCCACAGCTACAGTCCCCACTCTGCCCAGGACTTCCCAAAGATCCCCAATATCTGAACCTAGTACTCCATAACAAGTGGGTCTTCCTCTCCATCCCACGGTGGCCTGGCCTGTTTTAAATCCTTTTCCACTCCTGTCCATGGCTGCCTCCAAGAGAATCCTGAACCTCTCAATGCCCTCAGGCCATTAGCCCCACCTCCATGAGAAACAGAGCCCTTCCACCACATTGCCCCAGCATCTCTTTCTCTCATTACTTGTCCATCTCAAACTCTGTTCTCAGGGAGCTCGGCCCCTCTCAGATACCATCCCCACCACAAATCCTAACAGGAGCCCACCCCTCACCTTAACCCTATCCCATTGACCTGGAAACCCCTCAATCTCTCCAGCCCAGCTGGCCCCTTCATGCCCAATCCAGGAACCTCACAAATATTCTTGGGCTCCCTTTCCTGGCCTCATTTATTCACTCAAGCCTAGTTCTCAGAGACGTCAGTCCAGGCCCTGACTTCTTCTCAAGCCTTGGAGACTCTCAATGCCTCTGATTCCACTCTCATTCAACTAAGAGCCACTGGATTCTGGAAATCCCACCTCTCTCTCTCTCTCTCTCTCTCTCTCTCTCTCTCTCTCTCTCACACACACACACACACACACACACACACACACACACACACCCCCTCCCCCTTAGTCCCAAGTTCTAAGTGACCTGACACCATACCCAACTCTTGCTCCAGAAGCCAGCAGCTAAGTTATTTCTGTCCCCACTGCAGAGGTCTCCCTATCCAGGACCAGCCACCTGTGGGTCCCTTCCCCCAGATCCTCTGGCCATATCCCGATGCCAGCCCTGGTCAGCTGTAGCCCCCAACAGCACACCTCCCTCTCTGAGCCAATCCCAACCCCACTGCTCTGTCGCAGGTGCTGCACCTCCCATCCAATCTCGGATCATTGGAGGATCTGACTGTGAGAAGAGTTCCCAGCCCTGGCAGGCAGCTATATACCACTACACCAAATTCCAATGTGGGGGCATCCTGGTGGACCCCAAGTGGGTGCTCACAGCTGCTCACTGCTACAGTGAGTGAGTACAACCAGGGCCAGGGAAGCAGGGTGGCAGCCAGAGAACATGACTCCAGGCCAGGGTTGGGTACTGAGGGCAGGAGGATGGGACCGGCTGAAGGCTGAAAGGAGGGGCAGAGCTGGGCTAGACCCCTCTAGCCATGAGCTCTTGGGTCTCTCTATGCTCCCTCCAGGTTTGTGTTTGATTCCTGTTTCTTTCTTTTCTGTCTTAGTGTCCATGTGTCTCCTGTCTGTAGTCACAACTGAGTGTCTCTGTGGCCATCTGTCACTATGTGTCTCCCCATCCAGGTCTCTGCTTAACCCTCTCTGGGTCTGGGTCTCCATCACTACTGACCATACTAGAGAACAGGCTTAGGGGGCTCCCTGAGGCTAGGAAGGGATCTCCCTGAATACAGATGAGAGAGGAGTCCGCACTCTCCCCAGACCAGCTTGGCCCTTAGGACCTTCGGTCCACTCTGAGGACACACAGAGAAGGGCTGGTCTGAGCTGGAGCTGGGTGAGGGCAACTGAGCACAGAGGGAGAGCAGGGTGCTGTGGGGGCAGAGAGCTCAGGCCTTGGGCTGTGGGCCAGGCCTCGCCTGCTGGGGAAGGCACAACCCAGTCACAGGTGCAGCTGAGCAGCTCTCAAGTCCTCCCCCTTCTCCCTGCCCCCTCTCTTTGTATGCTCTGTGTGTGTGTCTATGTGTCTGTATGTGTTTGTGTATGTTGTGTATGTGTGTGTATGTATGTGTGTATGTGTGTATCTGTGTGTGTATGCGTGTGTATGTGTGTATCTGTGTGTATGTGTGTGTACACACGCATGTCCACATATGCATTTCTGTCTGTCTCTTCTTCCTCCCTCCTCCCTCCTGCCTCCTCCCCTCCACCCTCCCCTGCACTCTGCCCAATCTCCCTGGTTCCCTCCTCTCATTCTCTCCATCTCTCTCCCTGCCCCCAGCAAGTACCAGGTTTGGCTGGGCCGCAACAGCCTAGATGAGAATGAACCCTCAGCTCAGCACCTGTTTGTCCACAAAAGCTTCCCTCATCCTGACTTCAACATGGACCTCCTGAAGAACAATTCCCAAAACCTTGAGGCGGACTATAGCAATGACCTGATGCTGCTGCAACTCACCCAGCCTGCTGAAATCACGGATTCTGTGAAGGTCCTCAGCCTGCCCACCGAGGAACCCACGATGGGGAGTACCTGCCTTGCCTCAGGCTGGGGCAGTGTTGAACCCATCGACTGTAAGTCTGGGCCAGCCCACACAGACTGAAGAGGGACTCATGGGTCTATGGGAGCAGCAGAGAGGGCAGGGCTGGGGTCTGCTCACCACCCTCTTGCCCCCTGACCCACAGTCGAATACCCAGAAAACCTGCAGTGTGTGAACCTCAAGCTCCTGCCTATTGAGGAGTGCATCAAAGCCCATGCCCAAAAGGTGACAGACCTCATGCTGTGTGCAGGAGACTTAGAAGAAGGAAAAGACACTTGCGTGGTAAGTGAGCACCTCCCTGTCATGTGATGAAGGCCTGAGAGAAGGAACTCAGATCCTTGGTTCCACTTCAACCCCATTCAGCATTCAGCAGGTGCTCCTCACCCTTCCCTGTGGAAGTGATGAGTTCTGGGAGGGGAGAACCCTGTAGCTGGTACTACTTCTTTTTGACTTGGCTTCAGGGATTGTCCTGTCTGTCCCCCACTCTAACCCCATATCCCTGTAAAAGCAGGGCTCCCAAGAGCTGTAGTCAGCCCCAGGTTGTCAAGCAGAACTCAACTTCAGGACCTGCCTCACTCCTGCTCCTTCTCCTACTTTCAGGGTGACTCAGGGGGCCCGCTGATCTGTGATGGTATGTTCCAAGGTGTCACATCATGGGGCCCTGCCCCATGCGGCAAACCCGACAAGCCGGGCATCTACACTAAACTTATTGAATTCGTCCCCTGGATAAATGAAGTTATTAAGGAACACTCCTGAGTGATACCCTGTCCCCTGTCCCCTGACTCCTAATAAAACCCACCATGCAGCAAATGAGCTCAAGTTCTGACATTTTCTGGCCTTCTGGAGGTGGGTACCAAGTCAAGGCCCAACCAGCTGAGGTCAGGACTTCCACAGTGGATCTCAAGTTTGTGGCAAGGGACAGGTGTACGTGTACAGGTGGTCAAAGGGATGGACTGAGACAAATGCCAGCAAAAGGCTCAGACCAAGTCAGGGATGCCACATGAGTCCGCTGGGGCAAGGAAAAGGCTCAGATCTCAAAGGTAAAGTTAGAGACATCAGGAAGGTCAGGCCTAGCAGTTGACACTGAGAATTTGGACTGCCGACCTGGTTTTATTGAGTCTGGGAAGCCAGAAAAGAGGGCGAGGTGTTCTATCAAACCTTGACTTCCTGAGGAGGGGTCTGTCCACAGTAGGGCAGGGACCGTCCTCAAGACTGGGCTGCAGAGTGTCCCACTGGAGCCCCTGGAGGGGGACTACTTGGATGGGGCTGGACCAAAGGATGGAGAGTGGCTTAGAGGCGTGGCCTGTGGGGCGGATCATCGCCCGGCTTGGGGGCGGGACCACACTGCTCTGGCTGCTTGGGACCGTAGACCAGTGTCTGCTCAGAGAGACATAGCCGTATTAGAGGACTTCCAGAGTGGGGTCCTTGCCAAGACTCAGACCGCAAAGGGTGGATCCTAGTGCTGAGGAGCGGGGCTTGCCACCTATCTCCCGAGGGTGCTGCCTGCTCTCAGGGGAAGCGTGGGGACCTCAAGGGAGGTCTAATGGTGACGGAGTCACAGGGGCAGAGGCGGAGGCATCTGGCTGCGGGGACTCCTCAGTGTCCTGAGAAGCTGTGGAGCCCCCCGCGGGGGCAACCTCAAGGTAGTTCACTAAGCTGCTTGCAACAGACTGGTTCTGGGTAGACTCCGAGCTCTGTTCGGAAATGGGCAGCTCCTGCAATAGGCGTCTCGAGGCCCAACGGAAGTAGCTGACCCTCCGTTCCATAAGAGGTGTAGTGTAGGTCCATATCCGCACTTGGTTGAGGAAGGACAGAGTTCCTGTGGGAAGGAACCCGGTGGGCACTCGATGCTGAGCCCCACCCCGGGCCCCACCCTGGCCCTGGAGGCTGACCCCCTTTTCCTGGTCTCCTCCCCTGCCCTGCCCTGCCCAGGCCCCGCCCTTCCATCCGAGGTCCCGCCCTCACCGGCCCACAGCATCAAGACGCTGGAGCACCAGCTCAGGTAGAAGGCCAGCAGGTAGGATACCTGTGGCCTTGGGCCCAGCCTGTAGCAGTTGATGACAAAGAGTGTCAAGCTGAGGAGAATCAGGAGCCCTGCACTGGGGTGGGGCCAGAGAAGGACAGGAGGCTAGACAGGGAACCACCACCCCCCCCAGGAAGAGGAGAGAGACAGAGACAACCTCCCTGATCTGCCACACTAAGTAGATACAAGTGTGTACACACACACACACACACACACACACACACACACACACACACACATTGAAACATACTCGGAGACAGGGAAAGGAAAAATGGGGAACAAAACCATCAGCCAGGACTGGTGTGCATTTGAAACATACTCGGAGAGAGGGAAAGGAAAAATGGGGAACAAAACCATCAGCCAGGACTGGTGTGCATAGGCCCTTGACCCCAGCTATTCAGGAGAATGATATGTTCAAGGCCATCATAACTACAGAGTGAGATCAAGGCCAGCTTGAGTTACAAAGAACGCTCAAGACAGACACAGAGATACCCATGTCCCCCAGAGCAACAGAATTAGAAGTGTAGCCACACCTTTGGGAAGGAGGAGGCTCTGGGGTGAGGTGGGGGCTCCCCAAGCACCCCTGTCCTCGCCGACACTTACCGATGCTAATGCTGAGGAAACTGAAGACAAAGTCGATCTTGTTCAAGCGGCGGCAGACTGGTCGGAAGGAGAGGAACATGGATGGCAGGAGGACGAGGCACAGTGCCAGGGCCAGAAATATGAAGCCCTTGCTCATGTGAATGTAAACTGGGGAAGAGAGTTGGAGAGATAACTACAGTTACCCCCAACACACATGCATGCATGTGCATGTCCTCTCTCTCTCTCTCTCTCTCTCTCTCTCTCTCTCTCTCTCTCATCATCCCCTCCCACACCATGAGGAGCACAACAATTCAAAACACCCCCAGTACAGGGTCTGGTAGCACACACTGTCATCCTAGTGTTCCAATAACTGGGGAGGAATACCATTTCAAGGCCTGCCTGAGTAATTTAGTGAGACTTAGACCCTATCTGTCTCAAAATACAAAGTAAAAGAAGTCTAGGGTCTTGGGGATATAGCTTCATTAGTAGGATGCTTGCCTAGCATGTTCAAAGCCCTTCATTCCATCCCCAGCCCTGTGGTAAACTGGATGCTGGTGGTACATGCCTGTAAACTCAGCACTTGTGAGGAGGCTCAGAAGTTCAAGGTTATCCACAGCTACACATGGAGTTGGAGGCTAGCCAGAGCTACATGAAACCCTGTCTCAAACAGGGCAGAGGATGGGAAGTAGCTCAGCACCTGTCTGGAATCTCTCAGGGAGGGGCTGGGAGGGTGGCTGGGTAGTAGAGTTCCCTAGGAGTGTGTGCAAGGCCTTGGGTTCTAGCTTCAGCGCCCCCCAAAAAATGAAAAGAAAAAAACATTACCTTCACACACATCACCAAAATCACTTCCTAGAAATTCTAAAATGACTCTACTGCCCCTCACAGAGTTACCCTCCAACAATACATGCCCCCATGTAAGCCCTAAGCTACCCCCTCCCCAGAGGGACTCCAGGGAGAGTGCCACTGGCCCCACCCAGAGTGGACACACAGCCTATGCACTGACCAGTGACTTGGCCCACGTTGGCACACTTGTGCCTCCTGCAGTCAATCCAGAGGCCGATGAAGCCAGTGTAAGGACCATGCACATAGGCCATCCGCCCATCCACCACGCTGAACACCAACAAGGTTGCCAGGAAGATGAAGACGAGGGACCAGCCACGCAGGACCAGCTTTCGGTCCTCCTCCCAGGAACAGAGCAGGTCAGCTGGGAAGGGAGAAAGTGCTGGGGACCTGGATCTTTCTCCACGACCTAGCCTCATTCTCGTTTTCATCTCCACCTCCCACCTACAACCACCTCCCTGTGGAAGTTGTTCCCAGCTCATCTCCAATAACACTTCAACTTCTTCCATTTGCACTGGCCTCTTCTGATGTGTTACCACCCCGCTGCTAACCCCAACTTAGTGCTGGGCCACCAAGTCCTATCTCAAGTCCTCTCCCCTGTCCCTTGTGTGACTTCTCCTACCTCTAAGAGCTGCCCTACCCTGGGGCCTCAACGCAAATGTGCCTCTTCTTGGGACACTTTCATGGGTTGGATTTGGATTTGGATTTTGCTTAGAGACAAGGTTTCATGTAGCCTAAGCTGGCTTCTAATTCACTAAAGAGCCAAGGACGACCCTGAGCTCCTGATCTCCTTCCTCCACCACCCAAGTGCTGGGATAACACTTCCAGTTTATGCAGTGCTGGGGATGGAACCTGGAGCTTTGTGCATGCCCTGCCTGCACTCTACTGAGTGAGCCACTGTCCCAACCGTTGGTGCTCACTTTTGCCTGGCCATCCACAACCACCCACCCTTCAATGTCTCCTCTTTCCATCTCCTGCCTTGACCTCAGCTAGGAATTCTCAGTCCCCAGAACTCTCAGTTCCTGGTCAGTATGCCTGTTAGATGCTTCCATGGTGTGAGGCACATCTCCTTCACTGGCAAATCACAGGTTTACAATTAATTACTTGCTAATTGTTTTTCCCCCTCACCAGTCCTCTGCAACAGTGTTACATGAGGGTGGAGAACAAATCTATTTTGTTCTCCATTGTACTCCCATCTCTTAGAGAGGCTGTTAAGTAAAAGGAGTAATAAATGAATGTATGAATGGATGCATGCATGCATGAATCACACATGAGTGAATGAACAAATGAACACATAAATTAATTAATGGAAACTAAAATGCATGAGTGGATACATGAATGAATGAATGAGTGCGTGAATGTGTGCATGAACAGATGTGTGCGTTAATGGTAACAGAAATGTTAACTCCTCTCATCCTTTATAGCCCAGAACAGTGTAGTTTTCAGAAGGACTTGGGCACAGAGTCCTAGGACTCAGAGAAGAGCTTGGTGGCCAACTGATCAGCAGCTCTTCAGCTGGGCTGGGTGCTGCAGGCTGGCCAAGCCTTCTTGGAGTGGATCACACATGCACATGGCCAGATCAACTGTGATAAATGCCATGAGAGTTGAGATAAGCTAGATGTCCAGCAGGAGGAGATAGGCCTGAAACATGCAACAGGCACAAGGTAAACAGGTGGCAAAGGCCATGTACTCCTCCTTTTCTGTAACAGACCCAGGCTGAACTCTTCCTTTTTTTTATTTTTTTGAGTTTTCCAATGTAGGTCTGACTGGCCTGAATTTACTAAGTAGACCAGTCTGACCTGGAGCTCACAAAGGTCCACCTGCCTCTGCCTCCTAAATTCTGGGATCAAGGGTGTGCACCACCATATCCAGCTCTGAATGGCTCTTCTGGAGAGTGTATGTGGCATCTTCTGGTTGCTGTTTCTTGAGAAAGGGTCTCACATAAGCCCAGTCTAGGCTAACCCCAATATGTAGCTTAGGATCATCGTGTACTTCTGATCTGTCTCCACCTCTCCAGTGCAAGGGTGACAGGGTGACAGGAAATGACTGGTTTATGCCAGGCTGGGGGTGAAACCCAGGGCTAAATGAACATTCTACTGAGCTATGGCCCCAGCCTTGGCTTTATGGTTTTGGTCTGAGGGATTTGGTCTGTGTTTGTTTGTGTGTTTGTTTTTACACTTATTTAGTTAATTAATCAGTAAGGGGAAACATGAGGGAACACATGTAGAAGTCAGAAAAAACCTAAGGGAGTCAATTCTCTCTTTCCACCACATGGATTCCAATCATCAACTCAACTCGGGTCCTCAGGCTTGGCACCAAGTACCTTTACCTGCTGAGCCATCTGACTGACCTGGATTTTGTTTTGGTTTTGTTTGTTGCTTGTTTTTAGATAGGATTTCAATACTGACCTGGGACTCACTATGTAGACCAGACTGACTTCAACATTCTGGCAATCCTCCTGCCTCATCATACTTAGTCCTGGTATTACAGGAGTGCACCAGCTAGTCCAGCAAGTGTGTATGATTTAAACCACCATTGTTTTGTTTTGAAATTTGGTTCCAGTAACCAAAAAAGTATCTCCACAATGGGATATACCACATTTCATGCCATTTTGGAACGCAGCTTTCTCTTAGATTTTGGTGTTGAGACAGGGTCTCTCCATGTAACTCTGGCCTACCCAGAACTCACTATGTATATCAGACTGGTCTTGAACTCAAAGTGATCTGCCTGCCTCTGCTAAGTGCCAGCATCACCAAACCTGACTAGAAGATGCAGTTTTAACACCTTTAAAACTAGGATGTATCATATGATCAGACACATCTCAAAATTCACCTTTGACCTTTAAAACAATTAACAACATCTACTAAACCAGGCATATTGGTGCACAACTTTAATCCCAATGCTCAGGAGGCAGAGGCAGGCAGATCTCTATGAGTTCAAAGTCAGCCTGGTCTACAGAGTGAGTTCCAGGCCAACCAGTGCTATGTAGAGAGACTCTGTCTCAAAACAACAAGCAAACAAGAGTAACACCCGGATTCTCAATGTTACATAATCACTGAAATGTGATCAAGGTTGGCAATGCTGGCACCGTCTGTGATCTCAGGACTTAGAAGTTGATGCAAGAGAATTGTATGAGCTTGAAGCCAACCTGGGCTACATAGTGTGTTTAGGGCCAGTAAGGGCTAGATAGCAGGACAGTAGATAGATAGATAGATAGATAGATAGATAGATAGATAGATAGATAGATAGACGGGCCAACAAGATATGGCTCAACAGATGGAGGCTTCTCCCAGCAAGGCTAATGACCTGAGCTCAGTCCCTACAACCTACATGGTGGAAGGAGAAAACTGATTCTTAGAAATTGCTTTCTGGGGGCTGGAAAGATGGCTTAGCAGTTAAGATCACTGACTGTTCTCCCAGAGGACCTGGGTTCAATTCCCAGCACCTACACGGCAGCTCACAACTGCCTGTAAGTACAGTTCCAGGGGACCCAACATCCTTACACAGGCAAAAACCAATGCACAATAAATATTTTTTAAAAAGTTGTCCTCTGACCTCCACACTCCCTGTGACACACACACACACACACACACACACACACACACACACACACACACACACAAATGTGGAGCTGGAGAGTTGGCTCAGTGGTTAAGAGCACTTACTGCTCTTACAATAGACGAGGGTTTGGCTCTCAGCGGTTGCATCTGGGAGGCTCACAACTGCCCATGAGTCCAGATCCAGAGAACTTGACGCCCTCTTCTGGCATCTACAGGCACAGCATGCACATGGCGCACATAACAAACACACAGGCACTCACACATACACATCAGAAAATATAAACCGGGGCTGGAGAAATGGCTCAGCAATTAAGAACACCAGCTGCTCTTCCAGAGGACCCAGGTTCAATTACAAGGACCCACATGGCAGCTCACACTTGTCTGTAACTGATGTAAAAATAAAATTTAATAATATGGGTGTGTAATAAACATATAAAAGTTTGAGACTAGTTTTTCCTCTAAAGTTCATCAACAGAAAGTAAGGGTAAGAGCAGGATGCTTTCTATTGATGTTTTTGTTGTTACTATTTTGAGATAGTCTTTAACTCAGCAGCCCAGGATGGGCTCCAACTCAATGCAATCCTCCTGTCTCTGAGTGCTGGGACTGCATGCACCATTATACCCACTTGGGGGAAAGAGGATCTTAAAAGTCTCTCTCCCTGTATGGGCTGCCTGCCTCCTTACTGAGCTGTGGCTGCGTTTTCCTCCCCCCACCTCCCCCAGAACTGAAGTATTCAGGAGCAAGGAGCAGACTCGGCCTTCTATGAGGTCTCAGGGGAGGATGAAGGGCAAGCAAGAGAAACAGATGGAAAAAATGGAACAAAATGAGACATGGAGGGAGAGAGGGAACAAAAGAGACTGGCTCAGAGCAAACCTGGGAACTGAGGGAAAGACACAAGTAGGTGGAAGGAATTATAAGTTCAGGTCTTCTAGAAACTAGAATTCATCTCTAATGTGACTCTCAGTCCTGCCTAGCCCCAATCCTAGCCAGGCCTAGCCCAGACTTTCACTAACACAGCATCACCCTGTCCCACCCAGTTCAGACTGCACCCAGTCCCACTGACCCAGCCCCAACACCCAGGTCACTCACGAAGGTCTATGGTGGAGTCTGAGGCCATGGCCAACCGCAGCCTCTTGGAACCCTTCCAACTGTCATAGAACCCACCCCACCCCCAGCTGCTGCCCAGCCCAAATCCCTGAATGCTATCTGGGGACAGAGAGACAGACAGCAGGAACCACAGAGTCAGACTTACAGGTATCCAGGATGCCATAGGAGTGCCTGGAAGCAGAGGCTGGTGCAAACTGAGTACATTCAGTGACTAGCCCCATCCTGCTTCTCCACATGGACCAAAACTCCTCTGGTCTCCAAAGCAAGAGGACAGCAGCTCCCCACAGCAGACAAAATAAAACCCAAGACTCTCTAAAAGAGACCTCCAACCTCCCAGATGACACCCAAGGTCATCAAGCCAACATGCAAGCACGTATGCCCATCAGCCACCCTCAAGAACACAACAGCCGGGACCTATCAACTTCCACACCTATGACCCGAAGGGTGAGCATCCAGGAACCACCAGCAACCCTCTTTATTCCTCGGAAGTTCAGCACCCCGGCTTCTTTCCCATACACCATTCCTCCTCAAAGGTCAAGCACTCAAGAGACCCAGTCTCAGAGTCCCCAGCTCGAAACACAAGACATACAATCCGTTGCCTACAATCGCTGGCTCCGTTCCAGAGAGGGCTCTTCCCATTACCATTATCACGAACTCGACATCCTAAACTCTCAAACCCTGTGCAGTGTCCAGTCAGAAATCAGCAGCTTACACATTGACACTGGCAGCCACCTCTCCTTGATCCAGCCACACAAGCCCAACAGAAAACAAACGAGGCCCAATGTAGATGTCCCCCCATCCATAACTTGCAGCCCAGAGGCCAGCGTCAGAAGTTTTGAGTCCTTTGTCTGGGACTCCAAGGAGAGCTTGACAGGATTGTCATACTACTCTATGTCCAGTCAGAGTAATCTAGGCAGTTTCTTCAAACTGTCAAACAGTTCTCCTACAACGGGCTCCAGTAGGTAAGTAAAGGAGGGGTACAGAGGGGGTTACATCCAAGCATGAAGTTGTACAACTGCATTTGAAGCTGGAGGTGTAACGGGTTAGAGGGGACCGAAGTGAAACATAAGGGGTTTGAGAAGATACAAGGCTGGTGTTTTGTTTGTTTTGTCAAGCATGAAGTTGTACAACTGCATTTGAGGCTGGAGGTGTAACGGGTTAGAGGGGACCGATGAAACATAAGGGGTTTGAGAAGATACAAGGCTGGTGTTTTGTTTGTTTTGTTGGGATAGTGTCTTTCTGTGTAGACCAAGCTGACCTTGAACTCAGACCCTTCTGCCTCTGTCTTCTGTGCTGAGATTGAAGGCATATGCCACCATGCCTGGCTTCTCAAATGGGATTTGAAAAATGGTTGTGGGGTGGCTGGCAGGGTGGTTGGACTTCCTGCTGATGGTCACATGGTCTGTCACAGGGCACAGAGCAAACGCTGGTCACTGCTGCCCATGGGCTGGAAGCTGTTGCTCGAAGCCAAGAAGATTAGCCGGTACCTTAGCCTGGTGCTGACTGTGGCTGGCATGCTGATGCTCAACCTCATCGCCTTGTGGCAACCTTGGATCCACTTCCAAGTGCCTCTAGTGCCCTCATGGGACCCCACAGGCCCCAAGAGCATCCCCATCGACACCATCTTCTTCATGCGCTGCCCTGACATTTCCTGCATGAATGAATATGATAAGAATGCTTGTAAGGTTGGCCCTGTCCTCACCTCTCCCGAGACTCCGGTCTTTTCTTTGTCCCAGAGAACTTCAAGGAACAGTTTCTCCTCTCTTAGGCTACTCTTTGATGCTCACATAACTTCTTCATGCCCAAGAACCTGATGTCACTGACCAAGAAATATATCTCGTATAAGTGTGCATGTGTGTGTATGTGTGTGGAGGCCAGAAGACAACTTCAGGTGTCTTTTTTAGGAACCATCTTAGTAGGGGTTTCAATTACTGTGATAAAACACCATGACCAAAAGCAAGTTGGGGAGGGTTTGTTTCAGCATTGATTGCAGCAAAGCAAATAATTCAATCCTTCAATCCTAGGTGGCTTGCAACCACCTGTAACTCCAGTTCCGGGTAATCTACTCCACTCCCTCTTCTGGCCTCTAAGAGAGAGAGAGAGAGGAGAAAGAGAGAGAGAGAGAGAGAGAGAGAGAGAGAGAGAGAGAGAGAGAGAGAGAATGTGTGTCTATCTGTACCTGCATGTGTCAATGTATGTGTGGGAGTCTGTGTCTGTGTGTGTACATGCACACGTGAGTGTGGAAGCCAGAGGTTAATGTCAGGTGCTTCCCCAATTACTTTCTACCTTAATTTTTAAAAATATATTTATTGGAGACAGATTCTCACTATGTAGACCAGGCTGCCCTCAAACTCACAGAGATCTGCCTTCTGCTTCCCATGTCCATCCACTTTAAAATCTGTATTTATGTGTGTGTATGTGTGCAGGTCTGTGTACATTAGTGCAGGTGCTCACAGAAGCCAGAAGACGGCATCATATTCCCTGAAACTAAAGTTACAGGTGGTTGTAAGACACCTAGTTTGGGTGCTAGGAATTGAACTCAGATCCTCCAGAAGAGCAGCAGACACACTTAACTGCTATGCCATCTCCTCAGCACAGGCTTGGTGTTGGTGATTCCCCTCTTTTCCCAGACTTGCTGGACCTGGCTTGGGCCTGCCTCCTCGTCTCCGGTGTCATGAGCTTCTGTGTGTGCATGGGTCTCATCAGCACCATATTCTTCCCCAGCACCAACATGCCCTTGATGGACTTCTCTCTCTTCATCTGCAGCCTCATGACAGGCATGTAACTACCATGCCTCCCACAGGTGCCCTTCATGAAGGCCAGCCACACCCCTCTATACTCAGCCAACCCCATCCTCACCCTCAGCCCCAGCCCTACCTCCTTACAAATCCCCAGCCATCATGTTGCATCCAAGCCTGAAGCCAGCCTTTTCTCTAACTCCCATCTCATAGCCGGAAAATCCAAACCCCCAGACCTCCTCCCTCACACCAGTTCCACGTCCGCCTCATTCCAAATCCGTCTTTTCCCAAACCACATTCCTTAGTATCCTCAGCCTCTTCACAAGTCTCCACACCCACCTTGGCCTCAAGCCTCATGACCCTCCATGATTGCCTCACAGTCAGCCCGGCCCCGTTCTCCTAAGTTCAGCCTCACCCTCAGTCCTACTCTCGCCCTAGCTTCACCTCCTGTTCAGTCCACACTCCGACCTACCAGCTGTGAACTTCCCTTTGAAACTCATCCCAAGCAATTCCCAACTCCATCCTCTTCTTCAACAACATCCCAGGCCACCTTCCCCCTCGTCACACCCCTGCAGGGCACGGCCTGGACTCCAGCCTCTACACAGAGCTCCATGTGGAGCTCTGTCACACCTTCCCGACAGCATTTCCTTCAGGCTACTTCATCTCTCCAAGCCCTGCTTTTCCCATCTCCTGAGGAGGGTGACATTTTCCTTCTCCTTTTTTTAAATGGGTCTCATGTAGCTGAGGCTGACCTTGATCTCATATATATGCAGCCAAGTATGTCCAGTATGTTGGTGAACTTCTACTCCTCCTGTTTCCACCTCCCCGGTGCTGGGATAACAGGAGTGTGCTGGCACACCAAGTTTATGTATGGTGGAGATAGAACCCAGGGCTCTGTGCATGCTAGGCAAGCGCTCTACCAACTGAGATAAAGCTTCTGTCGTGTGATGATGTAGTGAGTGTTCAGTTAGAAAATGTTAACTCTGTTATCTTTGTCACCCCGATGAGTCCCACAGTTAGCTAGGCAAGTGTCACTCCTCCACGGTAAATCCCTCCTTACCCAGTAGAGAAGGGACATTCTTTGGTCAAGGTCATATAAATAACTGAAAATCCTCTGGTAAAACCTCCAGACAAGTTTCTAGGATCCATCTGAGGCACCCGGGTTAGTGCCATATGTATGACTCCAGGCATATGTAAACGAGGTACTCTATGTGGTCTCCTTTTGAAGAAGTCTTCGTGCATGGTGGCACAGGTCTGAAACAGCAGCATTCAGGACCCTGAGGTGTGAGGATGGTAAGTGAGCCATAGAGGACTCAGCACTTGATGCTAGTTTGTTAACCCGTACTGTAATCATCCCCAGCCTCTTTCAAGTGAGTCAAAACTGGCAATGCTGATTAGAACATCTGTTTCCATACACATGCCCAGATTGCAAAAGATTGAGAGCATGCAACTACTGTCTGCTGGTCGCTAGCTGGTGTCTGCTTTGTCTGGTAGCACTTGCTAAATCATTAATGTGTCTGTTAATTTCTAGCCTCGGCTGCCCAGGAATCCCTGTCACCTTCCTGCTTCAGCTTCTCCCTTGCTGGGATGAAGGCACCACACCTCTAATTGTCTAAATATAATTGTTGAGACTGGAGAGACAGCTGGTGGTTAAGAACACACAGTGTTCCCAGAACCCAAATGGCAGCTCACAACTGCCTGTAATACCAGCTCTAGGGCAAGCTGATGCCCTCTTCTGGCCTCTTGTGAGCACTGCACCCAGTTGTGAACACCAACCCCCACCACACTTACATATAATTAAAAAATAAAATAAACCTTAAATATAATTGTTTCAACATAAGCCACAGTAGGTAGAGAACACCTGAGTTTAAAATGAGGTATTTTCAGTCAGATAATTTTATCCTGTCCTTTAATTGAACACAAAGCACTTCTTATGTTATTTTCAACAACTCAAAAAAACTATGCCCACGCCGGGCGTTGGTGGCGCACGCCTTTAATCCCAGCACTCGGGAGGCAGAGGCAGGCGGATCTCTGTGAGTTCGTGGCCAGCCTGGTCTCCAGAGCGAGTGCCAGGATAGGCTCAAAGCTACACAGAGAAACCCTGTCTCGGAAAAAAAAAAAAAAAACAAAAACAAAACAAAAAACTATGCCCGGTTCTATTAAATCTGAAAAAGAGTTTCTTTTTTCCCCTCTTTTCACAAAGTATCTTAAATTCCTGTCTATTTGAATTACCCAAAATGGTTGAATTCTCTCTCTGTGGCTCCAGAATCCCAACATCAAAGAGCCAATAATAATGAGACTCATCCCAGTCTTTGAGGTTTGCCATGGGTCAGGATACATACCGATCACCACATACCCTCATGACGGCCTTCACAGATGGGCCGCAGTTATACCCACTGTACAGGTGAGAATATCGAGGCTCAGGCACATTGGAGGCTGCTCTAAAGTAAGGAATAGAGGCAGGATAAGAGGCTGGGCCGGCAAGTTCCAAAACCTTCCAGTGTCTGACATCGGGGTACCATCAGGCAGCCATGGGTGGAGGTTTAGGGTCCAGAGACCAAAGACACTGGTGACAATGTGGTAGCATATGTTTGCAATCCTGTAACTTGGGAGACTAGAGCAAGTTTTCAGCAAGTTCAAGATCAGCCTGAACTACATGAGTCTAGTGCTAGCTCTTTTTCAAAATGGCAACAACCAAAAGAAGGTAGTAAGTGAAGCAGGGAGGGAAGCGGAAAGAAAATAGAAACACATGAAGGAAGCACAGGAAGAGAGAGAGAGAAAAAAAAAGAGGGCTGGAGATGTAGCCCAGTTGGTAGAGCCCTTGTCTAGAGAGCCCAAAGTGTTGGGCTCCATTCCCAAACTGGACGTGCTGAGCCTGGTGATACATGTCTGAGACAGGAATCCTGAGTTCAAGGTCACCTTCAGCTGCATAGAGAGTTCAAAGAAACCAGCACCATAGTAAGAAAGCCACAGTCTTGAGACTAACCTTGTGGGGGTTCACACCTGGTCTTGGTCTGTGCTCCACAGGGATCAGCATCATTCTGGCAGTCCTGTTCTACCTGATGCAAGCCCGCAAGTTCTTACAAGAAGACATGACCTACACACTGGGGAGCAGCTTCTACCTGGCTTGGATCAATGTCTTCTTCTTCTTCATGATTGGTCTGGCTGGCTGGGGGTAGCCTAGATGATGCCTTGGGGATTGCTGGGAGTGGGGGTCAGGTTGCACACCGGGCCAGGGAGGGTGGGATTGGGCTTGGAGCCAGGGCTGGAGATTCTTGTAGATTTGGGGTGGGCTGGGAACAGCATAAGGGTGGAGTTGATTCTGGGCTTAGGGATGGGGCATGGGCTGAGGTAGGACTATGTGGGGTACACAGTGAAGGGCTAGCCTACTGACCTCTGTGTCTTCTCTGTCCTTTCCCTCAGGTCTGTTCTCCTATCTGAACTACATGAACTTCTGGTCCATCCTGGCAGTCCAGGCTTTGTGGTCTTAGGACACGACAATGAACAGATGATCTACTCTCATGGCTGTCAACTGCCTGACAAGCTTGCTCTCCAGCCCTATACTCATGAGTTATGTAACTTCCAACTCCCTTCAGCCCAGATGAATAATTTATATTTTAAAGAAAAATATCTTTTGCCCAGAATAACCCATTACTTGGCTTTGTAATGTTGAAAGCACTTGTGGAACTGCCAATACCTCTCCTCCACCCCGCACCCGCCTCTACCTCATCCATTTGGGGATACTGTTAAGTAGAGGGATAGAAAAGGGACATCAAAGGTCAGCAAAAAGACTGGGGTGAGGGTCCTTGGCATACACATGGAGCGTTTTTGTTTGTTTTTTCGAGGCAGGGTTCTTCCGTGTAGCCCTGGCTGGCTCGAATTCAAAGAGATCTGCCTGCCTTTGCCTTCCCTGAGTGCTGGGATTAAAGGTGTGCCAGCACCACCCGGCCACACAGTACTTAATGCTTACTGACTTACTCCATGTCTTAACTTCAACCTTTAGTTCTTTTCATTTTTGCTGTGGTGTTTGTTTTTGAGACAGGGTCTCACCTATGTTGACTACGCTGGCCTGGAACCTGGAACTCATAGAAATGGGCCTGCCTCTAGCTCCTGAATGGTGTGATTACAGGTGTGCCTCACTGTGCCGCTACCTTTACTTTCGTAATCAGTAACTCACCTTCTCAGAGAAAATCCTGCTCACATCCTCAACTCACCGGCCATCCTTTCCTGCAGTTTCTCCCCCACCCCTATTCTTCCCAAAGGCCCTCAACACAAGCCTGCTCAGTGTAGGGCTTGGGGGGGGGTATGGGCCCAATAATGAGCTGCTGAATGGGGAAGGGTTGATACCCAAGTAAAACACCCATCAATTCCCAGGTCTCCCACCACCTACCTCCTGCAGAGGGGATGGGGTGCCTGCCCCTTTTCTTATTCCCATAGGTCTAGATACTCAGAGACTCTGAGTCACAGCAAGGCTGACTTGGGACTCAGGTTCCTTGTCTGTAGAAGCAATGATCTGTACAGGCCCAACCTTTTGACATCACCACGTGATATTATTATCTACAAAGTTTATATCCAAGAACTACACAATCAAAGGGCTAGAGCAATGACTTAGTAGTTAAGAGTGTTTGCTTTCCCAGAAGACTGAGTTCAGTTACCAGCATCCAGTTAGGTGGCTCACACTGCCTGTAACTCCAACTCTTGGGAATCTGTTACCCTCTTCTCACCTCTGCAGGTACTACACCTGCACATACATATAACACACACACACACACACACACACACACACACACACACACACACACGAAAATAAAAATAAATATGAAAAAAAAAACCCTGCACAATCGAGTTATCAAAAAATATCGAGGGGCTGAACAGACACAGCTCAGCAGTTAAGAGCACTGGCTTTTGCAGAGGACCAGGGCTTGATTCCCAAAACTCACATGGCAGCTCACAATTGCCCTTAACCACAGTTTCAACTCTTCTGACCTCTGAAGGCACCAGGCACACCTGTGGTACACAGACATACATGCAAAGCAAAACACATATCATAGATCTAAAATAAATACATTTTAATTTCAAAAAAATTAGACACTTTCTCATGTATTCCAGACTGGTGTGAAACTCACTATGTAGACAAGATGGAACATAAGTTCTGAATCTCTTGCTGGTGTTACAGGTAGGAACAACCATGCCTGGTTTACATAATGCTGGGGATTGAAGCCAACACTTCTTACAAGCAGGGCAAGCACTCTACCAACTGAGCCACATCCCAGCATTTGAAAATAAAGATGAGCTAACACTATATGCCTTCCACTAGATCTACAGAGTGATCAAATAGACTCAGTCCCAATGCTGTGCAGAGGGATGCAAAATGTGTGCCCATAAGGAAATAGATGGGAGGTGAGGGAATCTACGCTATGAGCAAAGAGAAAGGAGGTGTCTTATTTTTCTGTTGCTGTGATAAAACACCTCATTCAGTCTCAAAGATGCAGGCCCTGGCCCTCTTGCTCAGATCCGGGGATCCACACCTCGGTGCTCCTCCCTCTGGCACAGGGAAGCCCCGCTGTTCTGCACCGGCGTCCTAGGTCGGCCCCGCCCATCGCAGAGCATATTCGCCGCTCACGGCACCACTCCGGTGCTTCCCTCGATGTCAGTCAGCGCCCGTCCCGCCTCCCGCGCTACAGCGGCCACACTGTTGGGTGGACCCTTTGAGCGTAACCCAACCTCCGGAGCGTAACCCAACCTCCGCTCCCCTGCCGCGCTGGCAAGTCGGTGGCTTCCGGTCCTGGCCCCGCCTACTCCTCGGGGGCCTTTCTCGTCCCGCTCATCCTTGGGGGCTGCCTCAGAACTGCCTAACGAGAATGACGGAAGAGCCGTCCGGATATGGCCTCTATCCTTGTATTCCTCTTTGGAGAGACAACACTGTCTCACATCCTCTTGAGGTCTAGCGGCCAC